AGCTTATGATCAAACCGTAGACCAAAACTATTAGTTATCGTTTAGTTTTCCAGGATAGTGAGCGTTTCTTAGTAATTCTCAACACTGGTCTTTGTGTTTCACTCTTGTATGTCCGGTAGATGATTTCCTGCTGTGCAATTGTCTTTGTTTTGACAGGTGGAGGGTGTAGGGTGTGTTGGTGGGGGTGTAGGTGAGGGGTTGGTGGAGGGTGTAGGGTGTGTTGGTCGGGGTGTAGGTGGAGGGTGTAGGTGGAGGGTGTTGGTGGAGGGTGTTGGTGGAGGGTGTTGGTGGAGGGTGTAGGTTGAGGGTATGAGGGATTATTTACTTTTTTTGCCACTTACAGCGGCTAGTTTATTGTACACCCCATACTCAACCTGTGAGCTGTAGCGCAAAAGGATTACAGAGTAAAGATCACAAAGGGTCTATATGACTAACCCTAGTGGTCCGGATATTATGGCGTTGCATGTTACATAGTATTTAAAATATATTCTTTGTTTAGTTCTATACATAAAGGGTAACTTATTCACAATTGCGTGAGTACAGGAGTGTGAGGCAGTATGTCTGGCCTCACACTTTGTTATTCACATTTGCATGAGAAGTATTCAAGCCTATTGTGTGTTTGGTTCTATACATGGGAACTGATATAGCTACTAAGTGCAAAAAAGTGGATACAATCTTAATATGTCGGCTATCTTGCCATTAGAGATAAAGTGTTGTGCCATTTCACACACAGTGTGCTTGGACCTGTCCCTAAAAGATTCTATCTTCACACAGTCGAGGACGTAGTGTTCAAGTGTGTGGCCATATGTATGGCCACACACTTTACATTTAGTCTTGTTTACATCTGCTTGAGGAACATACTGCCAAAGGTACTTATATCCTAACCTTAATCTAGCGGTTACAACATCTTGTAATCTAGTGATCTTGTTACTTGCTCCATATACATGTTTCACATGATACATCTCATCATGGTAAACTATGGATCGACTAGTGCCTGTTTGCACTTGTCTTCTTGCGTCAAATTCATCAATAAATTATTTCCTAATTACAGTTTTAAGAGTTCTTTTTGACAGACCCAAATTGTATTCAACGGTGTCTTTGTTAGACGCGAATTTGGCGACGGCTTCGACTCTGTCATGTTTTATGAGGCCTATGTGAGAGGGGATCCACAACAGTTTGACCTTGACATCCCGGTCAACAAGGTACGCATATTTGTGTCTGGCTTCAGAGGCAAGCGCGTGACAACTTGAGTCGAGGGTGTCAAGGGCAAGTAGTGAGGATAGAGAGTCAGTGATGATGAGACTGTCAGTAACAGTGGTTTCAATGAATTTAATAGCTGTGAGTATGGCAACTAATTCAGTTTGTAGAGTGGATGCCCAGTTGTTAATTCTAACTCCTTTCTCAATTATATTACCGTCAGGTTGAGTCACAACAAAAGCACTTCCAGCCCTCCCACAGGCAGTGTTAAGAGATCCATCAGTGTAGATGGTCTGTGTGATATCATCAGTCTGGTGATCCTGCCTGAGGAACATACTACTTATATCCTAACCTTAGTCTAGTGGTTACAACATCTTATCATGGTAAACTATGGATCGACTAGTGCCTGCTTGAGGGAGAGTGTTGGTGGAGGGTGTAGGTATAGGGTGCAGGTGGAGAGTGTAGGTTGAGGGTATGAGGGAGAGTGTGGGTGTAGGTGGAGGGTATGAGGGAGAGTGTTGGTGGAGGGTGTAGGTATAGGGTGCAGGTGGAGAGTGTAGGTGGAGGGTATGAGGGAGAGTGTAGGTGTAGGTGGAGGGTATGAGGGAGAGTGTAGGTGTAGGTGGAGGGTATGAGAGGGAGGGAGGTAGGGAGGTAGAGGTCCACGGATCAATACAGTGTCATCCCACACAGTGTCGGGGGAGGAGGATGATAACCAACGTGTAGCTTCTTTGTGTTCTTGTCTGGGGTTTATAGTACACACACACACACACACACACACACACACACACATTAATTCATGTTTATTGGAAATATATTATGTGTTATGGGCTTATGGTATATACATGTATTTTTTTCATGGTCTTTAAACCAAAACCTGATTGACACCTCCTCTACCTCTTCTCTCACTAATTGATACATTCCTGTAATTTTTATAATAATTCTCACTAAAATAGCTAATATCATTATATACTTTCGTAGTTATATTCATTAGTTATGTATCTATCAATTAATTATCCATTCATTCTTATTATTTTTTTTTCTTATGTGGGTTTTCCAATACGACAGCCACTTCACAGCAACATTACAGCATCTCTCACAGCAACATCACATCATCTATCACAGCAACATCACATCATCTATCACAGCCACATCACAGCATCTATCACAGCAACATCACATCATCTATCACAGCAACATCACATCATCTATCACAGCCACATCACAGCATCTATCACAGCAACATCACAGCATCTATCACAGCCACATCACAGCATCTATCACAGCAACATCACAGCATCTATCACAGCCACATCACAGCATCTCTCACAGCCACATCACAGCATCTCTCACAGCCACATCACAGCATCTATCACAGCAACATCACAGCCACATCACAGCCACATCACAGCATTTAATCATAGCCACATCACAACATCTATCACAGCCACATCACAGCATCATCACAGCCACATCACAGCATCTATCACAGCAACATCACAGCATCTATCACAGCCACATCACAGCATCTATCACAGCCACCACAACATCTATCACAGCCACATCACAGCATCTATCACAGCCACATCACAGCATCTATCACAGCAACATCACAGCATCACAGCCACATCATAGCATCTATCCCAGCCACATCACAGCATCTATCACAGCCACATCACAGCATCTATCACACACATCACAGCATCTATCACAGCCACATCACAGCATCTATCACAGCCACATCATAGCATCTATCACAGCCACATTACAGCATCTATCCCAGCCACATCACAGCATCTATCACAGCCACATCACAGCATCTATCACAGCCACATCATAGCATCTATCCCAGCAACATTACAGCATCTCTCACAGCAACATCACATCATCTATCACAGCAACATCACATCATCTATCACAGCCACATCACAGCATCTATCACAGCAACATCACATCATCTATCACAGCAACATCACATCATCTATCACAGCCACATCACAGCATCTATCACAGCAACATCACAGCATCTATCACAGCCACATCACAGCATCTATCACAGCAACATCACAGCATCTATCACAGCCACATCACAGCATCTCTCACAGCCACATCACAGCATCTCTCACAGCCACATCACAGCATCTATCACAGCAACATCACAGCCACATCACAGCCACATCACAGCATTTAATCATAGCCACATCACAGCGTCTGAGATATCCGTGGTCTTGCGGATATGTATACACCATTCGAGTCTTTTTAAGATAAGGGAGAGACTGACTGAGCAACTAAGTCATGTTATCAGTGACGTGACATTAACCCTGCGCTTATCAGTCTTATCTTGTTTTGTTACGCATATACAAAGACCTCGTGGGTTGGGAGGAAGGTGGGGCGGGGGAAGGGGTCGAAGGGAGGGGAAGACGGGGAGGGAGTTGAATAGAGGAGGAGGAAAGGGTTTGAGGGGGGGGGAAGGAAGAATATTGAGGAGGGGTGGGTCCTCCTTACAAATGAAGAGAGAGAGAGAGGGGGGGGGAAAGAGAGAGAGAGATATAGTTCACACCAGTTATGCAACATATGGGAAGCAGTCAAGAAAAGAATGAAGTCTTCTTGTATCTCTGGAGGACAAGAGCCGGCGAGGAGGAGAGAGGAGTATAATGCCCTCGTGGTGATCATTCTGTGTGACCTCAGTGTCCCACAAGATCACCTTCCACTAACACGAACAATACATTTTACGAACCTCCTCGAGAGACTGTTACCTAACATAGTATTTCATGGATTATATAAACGTCTGTAATCGTATAACAGCTCTGGTCTAACGTTGTCTCGGTCAAGTCACCAAGTAGGTCGAGTGAAATATTACAACTGGTTTTTGAACAAAGGTCTCGAGTCCATAGATCAATTGTGGGTGTAAATAACCTAGTTACACGGAGACACAAACTCGCAATGTCTCTCACAGATAAGATTATATCCAGCCTCAGTAACACCCCCGTTGGACCAGCCATCAAGTGTTAATATCCTCAGACTAACTTATCATCAGAAGTAATCACCACATTTCTAATAATGCACAGAATGCAACCCTCCTCCCCCCAAAAAACTGGTTCCTCTTGCAGACTAGATCGTGCAACTTCTTCTTACACTGCACAACATCCGTGTTCCACCTCCACACACACACACAGGGCTGTTGTTCTCACGTGTTGGGTGGCGCATCTTAGTTCATCTTTATTAGTTGGGGACAAAATTCCACCGACAACTTCTCACATCATCCACGATCACTCCTTTACTTTCTTCTTGCCTCTCTCAAGCTAGATGATCTCTCCACTTGTTTTGTTTTTCTACAGCATTTTCTACTCTTACAGCCTCAGACAGTTTTATCACCATTTACAACCTATATTCCCTGTATTTATCGTATGCAAAAATCCTTTACCTGTCATGTATTACCAGCCATACAGGATTTATAAGTTATGTGGGTGTAGAACATACAACACTTATATCATGCTTCACTGTGGTTCACGTGTCAGTTTATATTGGCGTTCAGAGGACACACACGTGTGCCTCTCTCCTCCTCCTCCTCCACTCGATAATAACAAAAACAAAACAAGTTGTGCAATACTCAAGCTGGATGATCTAAGCGTGCGTGTTCCTCCATTACCTAGCGAACAAGTTCTTCGTTGTGTTCACCTACAGTCAGGGTAGGGTAGGGTAGGGTAGGGTAGGGTCCAGTGTGTACTCACAGCGAGGTTTTTTTAATTGTCACTTATACTGAGAACTGAAGAAATATGTCTCCTACTTCGTTTCCATACCAGCTGTCCCACCAGCTGTCCCACCCACTTTCTCACCAGCTGTTGCACCAGCTACCCCGCCAACTGTCCCACCTACTGTCCCACTAGCTCTCCCACCTGCTCTCCCACCAGCTGTCCCACCTCCTGTCTCACCAGCTGTTGCACCAACTGTTGTACCAACTGTCCCAACATCTGTCCTACCTGCTTTCCCACCATCTGTCCCACCAACTGTTGCACCAGCTGTTCCTACAGTTGACAGGCGGATGCTGGACTTCCCAGTAGCAGATCTCCGCCCCACCTGCTGCGCCTCCTGCTGTCCCTGCAGGAGACAGAGGCGGATACTGGACTTCCCAGAAGCAGGTGCTGCCTGCCACCCTGGTGCCGTTTTTCTCCCGCCAGCTGTCTTCTTATTGTGATATTTCGCTTTAGTCCTCGTACCTTATTATCAACTACTAATTTAGTATTTGTCAGGGCTTCTATGCTCTTTAAATGGGCGTATTATTTATAACTAAGGTTAGGTGTATCTCTTGTTCGCTCACACACATAGATACTGTACCATTGTCTACCTCAGAAACGAGCCGTAGGCGACCTCCCGCGGCTGGGTCACTATCTTGTGTGGCAGATCATGCATTCTCTCTTCACTTCATTATCACTCCTGCTCTTTCATCTCAACTATTTTGTCTATCATACTTTCCTCCTATTATAGAGTCCAAACACGTCTTATATGATCTCTTAGTCATGTATGTTTTACGTTGTGTATTAATAACACGTCATTACCTTGTACACAATCTGCGAAACTGTTCTTTGATCATTAAACATCGTATTATTATTATTCCACTTGTGATTATGTTTGCTAGTGTTGTCTTTTATTACAATTTGTTTTGTTTTTCTTTTATGATTCCTGACTTCTTACTTTCCTTTTGTTTTTCTTTTCTTTATTCTTATCTTTCTTGTTTTCTCGACTGTTTATTTTTATATACTCATTTGATTTTGTCATTTTCATATATAGATGCTCATTTGTTTACTCGAATGTCTTTCCCTTTTCTTATATAGAAGCTCATTTGTTTTTGTATTTTTTTTCATGTGCAATGCTAAAGCTTGATATATATATAAAACACTTGACATAACCTAGGTGTAAACTGTATTGCCCAAGTGACTAAATAATACCTAAAGTTTAGGTCTGTATCCCTCCATATTCCCGCGTCACGACTTCTGCCTTTTACTGTCCCGGGCTTACACAAGGTCACCGGGTTTGTTTTCCTTCTTCAATCAGTATTCGTACACACTCATATTCTATTAAAGTTGGGATCACCCGAAGATTAGACACCCCTGTCTTCTTATTTCACCTGATGATTAAACACCCTAAAGCTCCTTACCTTAGGGGGTGGGGTAGGTTGGGTATGGTTAGTGTTAAGTTAGGTTAGGCTAGTGTTAGAATGGTTAATCTTAAATTGAAATAATCGAAATAAACGGTGTGTGGGGGGGTAAAATTCCGCTGTTCCAATTTTTCTTTAAACAAACCAATAAAAACAAAACAAAAAACCTTGGTAAATATCTGGAGTTAATTAGGACCGCCATCACAGTTAAGTCGGCCTTTCCTAACGGGGTTCCCCAAATTCTCATAACACGAATAGTAATAATCATGATCGTACCTAACCTAACCTAACCTAACCATCCATCATTGAGTGGTGGTAACACAGGGTTTTATATATACAAGAATTAGGTACACATCATCTGCATATATAAATGTTACACATATCGCCGATCACGACTCGCAATCATAACATGGACACACTACGTAACAGTACAGCCACTGAAAAAACTATCTCTTCAAAATTGTGTTGAAAAAATATGACACAAAGGACGAAGGATTTTGAGAACCCTACCGAGACAACGTGAGTCGCAGTGTTCATTCTGAAACTCATTGATCACCCCGAGTAGAGAGAGTTTTTTGAGTGAGTCTACCTTAGGTGTTAATGATTCGTCATGTATAAGACTTCTACCAATCAAGAGCCTTTTATACCCGGACCACCACTGGAACTCCCCGTCATGACATTGTGGGTTTTTTTATCTCTCATAAAACATAACATTTCAAACATCCTGGATGATAAATCTTTAGTTCTTTGGTAAGGTGAGTAGATCTGACAAAGTATTTCAATTTTTTTATCAACTAATTTATTTCTTGAGCAACACATACCAGGATATATTGACCTCACAACACATCACAACACATAGCACATTTCTTTACTCTCCTGACTCTTGTCATCTAAATTCCCCAACTTCCCTTCTCCCAGCAAACGCCACCTCTTCCCTCCCAATAAATATCAATCTCTCCTTCCCTTCACTCCCAACAAATCCAGTCCCTCTCTTCCCTCCAAGCAAAAACGACCCCCTCCCTCTCTCCCTTGCAGCAAATACGACTCCTTCCTTTCCCTTCCTCCCTCATTTCTCTCTCACCAAACACATCTCCCTCCCTCCCTCCCTCCCTCTACACTGGGAAACAACATGAAGGATTTACCAAAAGGTGGATGTCGGCTTCACTTGACCAGGTTCTCTCAACCTCGATTTGAAGGTGAAGGTATGTGGAGCGTTGTGGTGGGTAGGGGAGCGTTGTGGTGGGTAGGGGAGCGTTGTGGTGGGTAGGGGGCGTTGTGGTGGGTAGAGGAGGATTGTGGTGGGTAGAGGGGCGTTATGGTGGGTAGAGGAAGGGATGGGGAGCGTTTTGGTGGGTAAGGAAGGCTGAAAATATACAGTTACATAATTGGGGAATGGGTTTCGATTTACAAATAATATACAAGTAACATAAGTGATACAAATATGATATATAATAACTAGGTGGGGAAAAGCTCAAACTACAGGGCATTTCAATATAGTGACAGTGCAAGAAGTAGTATTTACTGGGAGTGAATACACTGGTTTATTACAAGTTATTGATAATTTTTACAATGGTTGGGACTGGGCTGTTCTTATAGCGATCAGTTCGTGCACGTGTGGGTTGGATGCGGTTGTGGTGTCGAACAGCAATTCTCGGGCGAGGGATCTCAGGTGGTAGTGAGTGTGTCGTGGTGGTGAGTGTGTCGTGGTGGTGAGTGTGTCGTGGTGGTGAGTGTGTCGTGGTGGTGAGTGTGTCGTGGTGGTGAGTGTGTCGTGGTGGTGAGTGTGTCGTGGTGGTGAGTGTGTGGTGGTGAGTGTGTCGTGTCGTGGTGAGTGTGTCGTGGTGGTGAGTGTGTCGTGGTGGTGAGTGTGTCGTGGTGGTGAGTGTGTCGTGGTGGTGAGTGTGTCGTGATGGAGGGAGAGACACACATGAAGTGATGTCCACCTCATCCCAGGTTATTTAACCTGAAGATTAACCACCCTAATACTACTAACCTAACCTAACCATTTATACCATCGTCCATCATCACCACCACCTCAACAACAACAACAACAAGCACCTCGACAACAACAACAGCCACCACTACCACCACCACCATCGGGAGACTTTGGAGTACTTTGAGTCCGCTTATAATACACGTGTTGTCGTCGTTGTTGTTGCACTTGTTTTTGTACCCTAGCGTGTGTATGTGTGTGTGCACGCCTCTCCCCCATGACCACCACGTCCCCCCAACCCCAAGGAGATAGTCCAGTAGGATCAATGGTGCAAGAGGTGTTGCTCTCACGCTGCTGCTGCTGTTGTTGCTACTGCTCTCTCTCTCTCTCTCTCTCTTTGCTGTTGTTGGTACTTCTGCTTCTGTTGTTGGTACTATGGCTGATGCTAGTACTACTAGTAGCTTTTGTTGTGGGTACTATTGCTATTGTTATTGGTAGTACTGTTGGTGTTGCTGTTCTTGTTGTTGTTACTATTGTTTCTACTGTTAGTACTACTGCCACTACTCCGGGTATAACGGTATACAGTACAATATTTGTATACAGAAGCGGATGGAAATTTTCAATAAGGTCATCGATCAAGACTGAGACTCTGAACTGTGGCTGGCATATACTTTATCTACCCAGTCAAATATTAATTCTTTAATTATAGAATAATGTGGTTTAAAAACTATGGTATATTAGCTGGATGATTAAATATTATAGAGTGTGGCCCTGTATAGTATGTGAAATTTATTTGTTAATGTAGTTAACATCTTATAGTCCCCGGTCCTGCCTGGCCTTTTGTTTCGTTGGTTTTTGACATATTACGATACCAGATCTGTTTTACTTGTTATTTTAAAATATTAAGTCTTATCTTGGTAATTAAAGTTAAAGTTTAATCCTTAAATAATTTACTAATATATAAGTCTATGATCGACCATTTTTACTTTTTTTTATTAATTTCTACCATCTTAATGATATTTGACCTAGTATGGGTATTAAACTTTGTGCTTGAAACTGGTATGGCATTGTCTGAGTAAAAGGTGAATTCTCTTTTGATTTAATCCTCTTGCAAGAAACTTACATACTATCAAGGAGATTACAAGAAATTTAATACACTGATGGGAACTTTCACAGTGTGTGGGGGGGGCAGGAAACTTATTTTAAAAGGTCTCTCATCACTCATACAGGAAGAGCCTGACACAAAACAAACTTTCATTCACTTAAAACAAATCTGTGGTCGAAAAAAATATGACTATTGAAATTATATTGGTTAGCTTAAGCCATTAGGCTTAAGCCCGTATTATTAAATAAGATCTTCCCTTGAAGAGGGTCCTCGTGTCGAAACCATATTTTTCAATGCGAAGGACCTTTTGTTGCAGCGCACGAAGGTTTAATTTTTAGTTCGAGCAATTAAAAATACCGCTTGAAAGAACAACCTCCTCAAGAAGACTCTTCGTCAGAGAGGGAGGCTGTTGTTTGATAATACGGGCGTTACAGTTTTGGCCGTTTCAGCCCAAAATTGAATATTGTTCAAAATCTCAGTATAAGTACTCCTAGGCATGCTGATTCCCAATCTGTTGTCGACAATTCGTTTACAGGATAATTAGTGGTAATAATGATACTATGGATATTTTGATGGCATTTTTAAAGAGTATTTTTATGAACATGTTTGAAATACATTTTTTTATGAATTTTTTTTGAAGAACATTTAAATTAGATTCTAAAGAATATAATTTTGAAGAACTTTTTCCCTACATTTTCTGAAGAACATTTAGGTTAGGGGGATGATTCGTGAAGCAGTACAATAAGAATACCAACAGGTTTATCTTCAGGTGTACACTGGCTCCCTGCCGAAAAAATAATATCTTTATGATTTTGTGTGAGACGATATGACACACCGGACGAGAAGGATGGATTTTGACAACCTTACCGAGACAACAGGATCCGTTCAGTGTTCATTTATAAATTCATCAGACTCCACCGTGAAGATGCCTTTTTTGACCGAGTGTACACCATAAAGGCAACAATAACAGCATCGGTAAGTAAAAGAGGAGTTAGACCGTGA